ATCCCCGAATCGACGCTCTTACTCCACCAGCGAAGGTGGGAGTAAGAGCCGTCGACGGGAAGCCGCGGAGGTCAATTTTGCCGCCGTCCTCACAGCGGGGTAAGTCGGCTGCGATACTTCGAATTCAGCTACGCTCTTCGCGTAGCTGAATTTGCGTATCTTAAATCGACCCCCCACTGTAGTGAAGACATAGCCTAAGTCCCATTTAGGAGGTGACTTAAGCATCTAAGGATACATCTATACTGGAAAAAAAAATCCCCCCGAGCAGTGAGTCTCAGAGTCCGAGTCAACTGACTCACTCTACAGAGTGAAAAATAGCTGTGTGGACATTCCCTCTTGGGCTGGTTCCCGAGATCTGAGACCCTCCTACCTCACCGGGCACCCACCTACTGGGTGCACACCCGTGCACACAGCCACCAGGCTCACACCTACCGGACATCCACCTGTACAACTGCACACCCACCCATACAACTGCCACAGTGTGTTTTTATTTGTTTTGCAGTGTAGAAGTATGCTAAGTGCCTAAGTTGTCTAAGTTATTTTTGAAAATGGGACTTGGATGCTCTGAAGAATTTATCCTATACCTATATCTGTCTAAAAGAACAGGAGTACTTGTGGCACCTTAGAGACTAACAAATTTATTAGAGCATCTAATAAATTTGTTAGTCTCTAAGGTGCCACAAGTACTCCTGTTCTTTTTGCGGATACAGACTAACATGGCTGCTACTCTGAAATATATCTGTCTAGATACACAAAGCAAAACATATTTATATACTGTATGTAGGTAAACATTTTAATTATTGAAGAGCAGGTAAGACTTAATAGCTGCTCTATTTCCTGTACCTGAGTTTTTGACAGTTTCTCTAAATAGATCATTAGTGATTTCAGTAGGAATTTTGCTTTAATAGGAAATGAATAAGGATTTGACCCAGTGTGGGGCTCAGGACTGACAGGTTAAATTATTCCCTCCTCCTGCTCCCCATATTTGATAATAGAATATGATGTTCACTTTCTAGTGTGCATTAGTGTTGTATATGGAAATCACACTTTAAAAAGAAATCCGCACGGTAATTCTGTGGTTGTGAAATTAAGCTGTTATAGGCTCAACATCATGAGAATTTTCTTAAAAGTTTAAAGAATTAATCTTGAAGTAATTGTGTTATAAACAAAATTTAAGTATGTTACAACTCCATAGAAATCATGTAGTACGTTTTCCTTGACGTGTAATCCTGACTAAATCGACTTTTAAAAACAAGGAAGGTTAGACATAGATGATTTAGTTGTACAAGCACAGCTAAATAATGTATCCCATGGGCACAATAGTATTGCTGTCACCTACGTTTTCTTTATTAGGATTTGATAAGTTGGGAAGTATCACTTCATGTTCTGGCACTGTATTCAGAAGGAATGACATTACTACATTTCATTGAATTAGTAGCTTCCCCTGTCTCAGTTAAAAAAGGAGGTACTGCGCTGAGGTCCTGTATTGTACGTCTTCTTTCTGTCAGACAAATTACAACTTTGGGAATACTCTCCTTTCTAAGAACTTGAAGAAGAAGACTTTACTATGTTTAGAATACCACTGTTGAAGTGAACTTAGCAAAATACACATCAGTGTAACAAGCAGCTTTCTTTTCTTCCTCTGAACTATTGTGCTCCTGTTCTCTATTTTTAACTGCTTTTTCTTATAGCTATGATTTTTTTGGTCTTTCTTTTTTTCCACTTGTTGGCCCCATTTCTTCTGTTTCCAATAAGTTGAATAAAAATGAAATCCAGAATCCTCATTTTCTTTTCCAATTTGCAGAGTATATTAAACAAATAAAACCAAGAGCCCTGGAAATAATTAATGAGTCCCAGGTAAACCATTCCAGGCTCCCAGTAATAGTTACAAGTCATGTGTGGTATTATGTGTAAATACTTTAGAAGATAAACGAACCATGGCATGACATAATTGTCACTAACACCAACAAGTACAGTAACTGAAGCATTGCTTTAGAATCCCCTGTAAGGAGTGTTGCATCTTTTAATATACTGTATGTTGTGTAATGCTGCATCCGCAGATGCTGACTCTTCCTCATACAAAAAGTGAAAGGGTTCTCTACCGCTCTTTAAAGATTTGCACTATCTGTGGAGGGATCTTTGGAAGATGGTTACTGCAGAGTTGTTGTCTCTCTGCAGTGCTATCCTCCTGCATGTTTACCAGGACGTAAGAAACCTCGCAGATGGAGGACTCAACCTTCTAGACATATGGAAATATGAAAGATGTGTATTAGCATGAGCCACCAGTGAGGTCCTGGGACACAGCCCTGGTGAGAAGTTCAGCCCCTATCATCATCCTCAGTTGCTGGGATTTCCATTAAAGTGCTGTTCATGGATCCTGTTCCTTATTTCCCAGGTCTCTGGCTGGTGGGTCTTGCCCACGTGCTCAGGGTCTAACTGATTGCCATATTTGGGGTCGGGAAGGAATTTTCCCCCGGGTCAGATTGGCAGAGACCCTGGAGGGTTTTCACCTTCCTCTGCAGCGTGGGTCACGGGTCACTTTCAGGTTTAAACTAGTGTTTAAATGCTGGGTTCTCTGTAACTTGAAATCTTTAAATCGTGATTTGAGGATGTCAGTAACTCAGCCGGAGATTCTGGGTCTGTTACAAGAGTGGGCGAGTGAGGTTCAGTGGCCTGCCATGTGCAGGAGATCAGACAACATGATCATGATGGTCCCTTCTGGCCTTAAAGTCTATGAGTCTATTTCATATCAGCACTTATCTAGCAGGGATTTGGTACATTTGAAGATCCATACCCTCTAGATGCTGAAAGGGCCCAAGAGCCTCTTGATGCTACTTTGTCAAGCAGTCACCATGTGAAACTGAGGTGAATCTAGCCTGTGATACATATAACCAAAGTCTTGTTGATTTCACTTGATAACACTTTGGGCATCCAGAGAGGGAGGTACTGAAGCTGACAGTGACTGCAGACAGATAACACCATCATATTACATTCACTTCACTTTCAGAAGGTGTTCTTTGCAACTGTATGGGCTAGAAACTTCTTTTATGTTTTAAATGATAGTCTAAAATCTGAAGAAAAAGATGATTTAGGCTGCCGTATTTGCCAGGGAAACCTTTCCACAGATGAGAGGATTTTTCAAACTTAGCTTTTGACAATCATCTTTGATAGTATTTAGTTTTTGTTTTTTTATTGAGATACGTTTCAAGTTGTGTTGATGTAACCACATTCCATACTCTGATAATCCATTTTACGAAAATATAGTTTCTAAATCTTAAAACATTTTCTAGACAACACAACCTTCCTGACTCTCAATAACCCAAATTTAGATGAATAAATCTAAAGATACAGTTTAAATATTAGAATCTGAATACTCGGGTACATCACTCATGAAAAATTAAACCACTCCTGACATGTTAACATGTTAACCACGTGAAAGTGTCAGAGGTATATTCTCTTCCCATTGTGCATACATGGAAACGTTAATGGAAGCTAACCACATGCGGTGAAGGGAGCGCTGACCCTCAAGGAAAGAGTGCTTCCTTTTTGTCAGTCTTAAGCAGTGAACAGTTTGTGATCATTTTTGTTTGTTTTGAAGTTATGCTGCAAAGATTTATTTATAGAAAATAGTGTGAGCAATTAATCATTCCGGATAAAACACTCTGAAGTTATGGATCAATTGAAAGACTAATTGGCAGTAGCCTCTTGAGAAATCATTCACTAAAAATAGTGATAGCCACAGGTGTTTGTTTTTTTCTCTTCACATGAAAGTGCAATTAATTACTGTCTAAAATGGAAGAAAGAACTATAGCTGTGCACTGTCGCTGAGTTAAAGTAAGAGTTAATGTAAAGGTAGACTTTAAAAGGCAGGTCAAACTATTACAAGGGGCATTGTGCAACAATAGTTAAGGGAGTTATTTAGATGTATTTTATGCTACTAATTATTAAACTAAAAAAGGTCAGATCCTCAGCTGTGGTCAAGCAGCATAGCTCCCTTAACTTCAATGGAGATATACAACTTTACACCAGTTGAAGATCTGGCCCAAAATCTGCAGAATTAGACAACACACCCTGTCTATTTCTAAACGCATCTGGTCTTTTTTTTTTTTAAATGGCTTTTATCTTCTAATCTGATCTTGATAGTGTATAACAAGCCAGTATGTCAAATTCAGTGTTCTGTTGTTACCCAATTAACAAACATGACAAACAGTGGCTTACAAAAGAATGTAAGCGCATTGATTAGAATAAACAATGTTAATGCTTATTTAGTGTTTGTTTAAATAAGTTATGTTGCTTTTGTTTCTTCTTGATGTCAAAAGCATAAACTTACAGAGTGCAGAATTATTATCCATTGGGCTATCCTTGATCATCAGATTTCAATTTCAGCACATTTTAAAGATAATTCTTTTCCAGTTTAGTTTCAGATATTTTGTATTGTATTTTTAAAATGCAGTTCTGCTCTGAAAATTGACTACGTAAAAAATGGCACACTCTGATTCATCAGATCTACTCCCTGTGTGCATTTAGAGTCATATTTTTGGACTTTATTGACAACAGATGAGTAATCTCATTTTTATTCCTGCAGAATTGACATAGCTAATGTAGAATGAGCAGCGGATTCTTTTCCATCTTGTGCATCATCAACAGGATGTTCACTAAAACCTCCCATCGGTTACAACTGTGCAAACTCTCTGAAGGCTGCACAGGTCTCACTGTGGGCCTCACTTGGCTAGTAGAATGTCTTATGATGGTTGTGATAGAAAAAGTTGGAGAGAACCCAGCTTAACTCTAAGATCCCAGGTTGAGATTGCAGGGCTGGCAGTTTACAAGTAAACAAATATGTACCTTTTAAAACTGAGCAAATTTTATATGGAATCCTTGAGAGACAATACGCAAGGAACCCTACCTACAATGTGCCCATAATGCCACTATTACAGAGTCACTTTTCAGAATACAACCACCCTTG